CATGAACACATGACCCCCCAAGACAGGTTTCCAAGGGAGGATCCCATCATAGGATTGTATAACCCCACTAACAACCATCCTGATTCCACCTACACAGTAACTATCTGATCTTTCATGATAATAGAGAAAGCCACGAAACTGAACTTTGGAAACTTATTTGGGTTTAAAACAATATGATAACTTTTAAACTTTGTTATATCAGACCTTTACCATTAAACACAAAGACCTGTACCACCAACTTTAATCAAACCACTTGCTAAGTCTTTTAGGACTCGAGCACCAGGTAACTGTACCAACCATCAGGTACCACCATAAACTCCATCCACCCACACTTGTAGGCGACAGTTCTCCAATATAGTTAGGCAGACCATACATGATTCATTTGTTTTGTTCAATAAGTCGGTTGAACTAAAAAAAAAAATGAGCAAATTCCCCCATCCACACATTCAGTGTGGATGGGGGAATCCTTCCCACTGAGCTATTGTTTTTTTTGCCATCAGGGGGCCTTCTCTGTCAGCAGAATGTAAGGATCAGTATTTTGGCTATAGCTGGTGTCACTGATCATTCAGGAAAACCCTAAGAGGCTGGTTGTACACAAGTCGATCAATAGATGGACGTGTGTACAACCAGCTCGGGGCAGCACAGTGATTAAGTGCCTAGCACTTCCACTTGGCAGCACTAGGGTCATTGGTTCAAATCCCAACCACAACACTACCTGCATAGTGTTTGCATGGTCTCCATGTGCCTGCGTGGGTTTCCTTTGTGTACTCCGGTTTCCGCCTACACTCCAAAGACATGCTGGTAGGTGAATTGGCTCTTGTCTAAATTGGCCCTAGTATGTGTATGTATGAATGTGAGTTGGGGATCCTAGATTGTACACTGCTTGAGGAGCCATATATGGCTGGCATTAGAATCGCAACAAAGGGAGGGGAGATGACAGTTTATTAAAGATTCACACTGTTGTACCAGGCCACGAATGTGGGAAAAATCTTCACCCCTATTGGTTGCTTAATTTACCTTCAACTCTTAGCTACTAATCATTTTAATAACTGCCCAGGATCAAAGCAGTGAGGATCTTCTGGCTGTTTTCTGTGACTTCCTATAGTGACCAGGATGTGAGGGGGGCTGGAAGGAGACAGGACCCGAAAATATAAACTGAGAAAGCCAGCAAAAAAAGATTCTGTACCTTTTAGTTTACTAATTAAATTAAAGCAGTTAATCATGAAGACAATACAGTAAAAAAAGGGAGGTTGGTTGTAGGGTGGTGACAAGTCCCATAGGGACATTTGGTTAGCCTCGTTTCCCCAGCAATAGATGGGAGTGTTCAGACAAACCCCGAAGCCCACTTGTACATTGATAGACTATGATGACAAAAGCCTAATTATTTACTGTTCAAGCGGCCATAGTTGGATCAAATCACGTCCGGTTCAGCAGGGACCGGCAATCCACCTATGGGCAGGCTTTTTGTACCCAAGTTGGTCCATCAATTGACACGTCTCCACTGCTCTAGAGTCCAGTGGTGGTGTGCTTTACACCACTGTATCTGACGCTTTGTATTGCACTTGGTGATGTAAAACTTGAATGCAGCTGCTCGGCCATGGAAACCCATTCCATGAAGCTCTCTACACACTGTTGTTGTGCTAATCTGAAGGCCACACCAAGTTTGGAGGTATTTAGCTATTGACTCTGCAGACATTTGGTGACTTCTGTGCACTGTGCGCTTCAGCATGTGCTGACCCCACTCTCTCATTTTACGTGGCCTACCACTTCGTGGCTGAGTTGCTGTTGTTCCCAGTTGCTTCCACTTTGTTATAGTATGACTAACAGTTGAGTGTGGAATATTTAGTAGCAAGGAAATTTCACAGATGGACTTATTGCACAGGTGGCAACCTATCATGGTACCACGCTGGAATTCACTGAGCTTCTGAGAGCGACCCATTATTTCACAAGTGTTTGTAGAAACAGTCTGCATGCCTAGGTGATCATTTTATACACCTGTGGCCATGGAGGTGATTGGAACACATGAATCCAATGATTGGAGAGCTGGCCCAATACTTTTGACAATATAGTGTATATCTGTCTGCCTCGTCTATTTTAGTGTGCCCGCAGATGATTGGTATATTCCTATGTATACAAACTCCTCTTCAATGAGGTATGACAGTAATAAAGTAAAATTCCCTCCTAACTGGTTTGTGAAGACATTTTATGTTGAAGTTTAGCCATTGAAGACCCAATCCCACACCTTGATCAAGGGAGACCTCTGGACATGGGTGTAGCTAGCAGTCTAGGTATATATGGAAGCAGGCCAGCAAAAACGGTCAAGCTGAATCCTTGAGAGTGAAATCTTGATTACAGAGTTGTGAATACCAGTAAGTCACAGAATCAGTCAACCAAAGAAGAACAAGGAAGAAAAACATGTGAACATGAAACCAAACCCCAACAGGTCTTTTATACATGAGGGCATTACACTGGGGTTGATTCACTAAAGGCAAATAGGCTGTGCACTGCAAGTACACTGAAAGTGCAGTTGATCAAGATCTGAGGGGAACATGCAAGAAAAATAAAAAAACTGCATTTTTGCACATGATTGGATGAAAGAAATCAGCAGAGCCTCACCTCATTTCAGAGCTTCCCCTCAGATATAAAGCAAGTGCACGGTATTTTATTTACCTTTAGTAAATTAACCCCACTGAGTTTGCCGGTGGAGGGTAATGTAGAGTCTGATGTACCATGCAGTGCTAGTCGCCAGTGCTGCTTAAGAGGATAAGGTACCACCACTGAGTGGCATAATGGAGCGGCAGTTGCATTAAAAAGACTAATCTGGATTGGGCCATAAGGGTTCTTTCTTTATGGATCCAACCAAGACCAGGCAGAAGGAGCAGAATGTAATTGAATGCATTTCTCCCTTGGTTACCACTCAAAGCTTAGAGGAGATAGGGGTATGCAAATTCCTCATAGCCAAGAACTTGGCTCGCAGTTTCCATATCTCAGAGTAATGGGTATTTAGGTTTTGTGCTGCCCTAGACAACACAAAGATCATCTGCCCCCCCACGAATACAAACCAACAACACCACCACCACCCCTTCCCCCTCCCACGGAGAGAGCCTGACATTGACCAACTACACCCCTGACCCCCATCTGGGAGTGTCTTCCACTAACCCCCACTCCAGCAGCAAAAGAAAGACACTCATCTTCACAGCTGCAGACATCCCCGGGAACTAGAGTCAGGCTCTACATACACCATCAAGAAGCCCGCAGCCTCTCTCGGATCCCACCTGGTTCCCATGGCACGTGTGTCCTTCTTCCATCCCTTCTTCTGGGGGGAGGTGCTGCCCCCCTGAAAAATGCCACCCTAGGCAAGTGCCTTGTTTGCCTTGTGGTAAATACGCCCCTGCCTCAGAGGAAAAGTCAGAAAATATGGAGTTTTCTGAATCATTAATGGTTTGGTCAGGACGGTCTTTTGCTAATCTTAGGATGATGTGTCTATCTTGATAGTTTAGCAGTCTATCTCTATCTATCTATCTATCTATCTATCTATCTATCTATCTATCTCTCTCTATCTATCTGTCTGTCTGTCTGTCTGTCTGTCTGTCTGTCTGTCTGTCTGTCTGTCTATCTATCTATCTATCTATCTCTATCTATCTATCTATCTATCTATCTATCTATCTATCTATCTATCTATCTATCTATCTATCCATCCATCAATCTGTTCTTTGTCTCTTGCATTCAGCCTCGATCTCTTAATGTTTTAGGGAGGACATTAATGAATGCAGACTTATTACTCAGTAAGCCTTTGAACACTCAGAATTATGCAGCTTTTTGCTGAGTCTGCGGTTTATGGAGCTTAAAAGGGCAAGTAGCATTTTTCTTAAAAATTGTGACAGGCAAATGAGCTTTTACTCTCAGAGCTATTTTTGGAGACTGGTGCTGGGTTCTCAGCCAGTACAGTGTGCGAATGTGACTGACTCCATATGCCGCAACTTTATAAAGTTTAAACAACATTTATATTGATTATCATTTTATGTCTTTTATGTTTTTTAATGCACAGTGTTCGATCGATTGCTACTTATTCATCATTTATCGGAAAGTATGATATGCATGCTTCTACACACAAAAATCTTAGGGGACCTATGCATATTGGTGTCTTTTCTTACTTGCTTGGCAGCAAGATCCAGTATGAAATGTCTGTACACTATATGTATGTAAGATTTGGGCTAGTGTGTACATGTGTACAGCGTACAGGCACCCTGTTGCCCACCGTCATTGCTCAGGGCCAACATAAAAATGACAACAGTGTCAGTGCCGCTGCTGATTACACACTATTGATGTTTATATCTTCCCTGAAATGACTGATTTATGCAGAGGTGGCACACGTTCAGAATACCCTTGGCCGACGCTAAATGACTAAAGGCAATTGTAATGCATCATATGAAAGCATTCTTAAATGCTGCTTTATGCATTGACATAACTCCTTAGATTCAGTCTGTCCAGACTGTATGTTCACTGCTGACTTGGCACCATCCACAGGCAGCTTAACTCTTCAAAAAGCCACAGAAGTTGAATCCAACACAGTTTTGCTTCAACTTATTGCAGTACAGAGGATGTTTTCCCAGCCTTTTGAAGTATAAGAAAATTATGGGGTAGATTTACTAAAACTGGTGCCCTCAGAATCTGGTGCAGCTGTGCGTGGTAGCCTTGGTGGACTTGACGGTAATTGTCAGGGCTCCAGGTATGACCAGAGGTGTGTGGACCGACACAGGGAAAACACAGACTTCAGGTATAGTGTGTAATACAATATAATTTATTAAAGGCAACACAAACATAAAACGCAGTGCAAACAACCAAACTCAACACTTACATAAATATACAGTACAACCAGGTGCAATAAACCTTAAAATCAATAGGTACCAGTGCAGTCAGGGCTGGAGAGGTGGTGCAGTCAGGCAGGCTGAGCCCTTTGTAGCATGGGTTTCCTCAGGGCGCGGGGTCTAAGTCCCAGCCTACTGTTCACCAGGGCCCCTGATGGTGGGGATGGACTTGGTGCAGACTGGAACCAGGTCGCGACCCCTGAGTGCGTCCGGCTGTGGTAGAGAGTACTGGCAGGGGAGTGCGGGAACGGAGTCTGATGGGAAGAGGCAGGCAGACTTACTGAAGTGATCCATGCGATGGATGGATGGATCGTCGGGTGAAGTAAGCGCTTCTTCTAGGTGTTCCTTGGGATTTAGATCCATCAGGCAGGCCGGGTCGGTATCGTGCGGGCAGCGAGGTACAAGAGGAGCGAGCAGAGAATGGTCGGGGTCACAAGCCAGGTTCAGCAGGGGCCCTAGCGGGCAGCGCGGGTACCGAGGATCAGGCAGAAGGATGTTCAGGCAAGCCAGGGGTTCAACAGGAGACGGTCAGCAGAGGTCAGGATCAAAGCAGGGTCAGCAATGAGGCAGGAACACAGGATACCAGGTACAGGGGCTCATGGGAAACATACACCAAGGCCCTGATCACAGGCCTGGTCATTCCTTAACCCTTTGGTCACGCCTAAGGGTAAAACAAATCTAAATGCCTAAGCACAATTCTGCAACATTGACATGTGTTAGTAAAACCGTACATATCGTCACAACTACTTTGTACATCCAGGTGGATTATACCTTGTTTTTTTCAGGACAAATTGGGCTTTCATTTGGTGGTAAATGGTCATGGATAGCTCCTAATTTTTTTTTATTATTAAAGGAAAACTGGGCCAAAATAGTAAAAAAAAATCATTTTTTTAAATTTAACTGTGTGTTTCTTGTTACGACCATAACCTACCACCAAAGAACAACTCAAAATACATTCTCCAGTTCTTGACGATTGCAGCGATACCATATATGTGTATGTTATTTGTTGTTTGTACCCGTAGTGCAGTCCAGAAACAACAGTGCGCATTTTGTTTTTGTCTTTTTTTTTTTATATAAAACACACTGTCACTGACATTGACATTAACACTAACTGACACTGATACAATTTTTTTTTAAATCCTGACCTTTGACCCTGACCTTTGCCCTTGACCCTGACCTTTGACCTTGACCTTTGACCCTGACCTTGACCCAAACACTAACCCTGGTACTGAACTAGATCAAACCTTGATCTAGGTATTTTTCTTTATTTTTTCTTTTCTTTTTTAATATTTATTTATCTTTTTTTTTTTTTTTACAAACTTTTTTTTCTCTCTCTGTGTCAGGAGTTCGAGAGATACAATGTATCTCTCTTCTCCATTCATAGAGAGAGAGAAAACAAGGGGGCCGGGCTGCACAGTGATTGATCACTGTGATAGCCAATCAGAGGCTATCACAGCGATCACGTGACCCGGAATCGGGAGTCCCGGGTCCCGATCGTTAGAACGGGACCCGGGGCTCTCAGTGACACCGCGGTCTTGGTGCTGGGAGCGCGCCGAGCGGCGCGCTCCCAGCACAAAGACAGGTACGCAAATATGCGGCCCACGGAAAAAAGCCCAGGTCCGTGAGGCCGCATATTTGTGTTACGGGGCTCGGGTCAAGGGGTTAAATACACCTCCTGCAATCAGCCCCAGGTGTTGGCTGACTACAGGAGTGAGCTTCTGGCTGCTGAGAGCACCCGCTGGTCAGCCCTGGTACTGCAGCCCACACGGCAGGTGAGTCCCACCCCCAGTGCTGAGTCCATTAATGACAGTAATGAAGTGGAAACTAATGTGGACAGCCCACTTCCTCCCTCCCTACTAACCAGCTAAACACAACAGAGGTGGGATATTACATCTTGGTTGATGAACGTTTCACCTATATGTTATTCTAAGATACAGGCTGGAGGGGCGTGACACAGCCTGTGACTGGCAGAAATCCACCCATACCATGTTATTTCCAAAAAATAGTAAAAAATTGATTTCAAATATATATATATTTGGATGATGATTTAAAACAGTTTATTTATATTAATTATTTATTGTTACTCTGTATGCCTAAGGCTGTTTTTTTATATATATATTTTGAACATGTGACCAGAGGACTAGAAGCTCCTCCTGCTTATCTTTCCCTGCAGACAGCCTGGGAAAGAGCTGGGTCATGTGACAGCTGTATACTGATTAGGAAAAAGGTACTTAGGTTTTTTTTTTTTTTTTTTTTTTTTTTTAATAATTACAATGCCATCATCCACATATAGAAATAGAAGGATAATGTAAATTAAACAGTATATCACTTTAGGAGCCACGAGGAAAGCATGGCCCCCCTAACATTGTATGTTCAGGCAATTAAAAAGATGAAGTAACATTCTGGCTCACACGGCGCCACGCAAGCGGGATTGCGTCTGGCATAGCGCAGTCAGAGAACTTGGGAGTCATTTTTCATTTTTGGCTCAGCCTTTCCCTGTGGGAATGTTATCTTTGGATGCAGAACATACACGCATGCTGTGATCAACAGAAAATAACATTGCTGTGAAAATCGCTCCCTTCTCTCTATTGTCAATTGCTTGGAAGAGAGAATTTTTTTTTTCTCTCTCCTTTGTATAACATCGTGTACAAACTCTCGGGCTTTCCAGTAATCAAACCTGTCTGCGGCATTGTATCAGGCTCCGGGTCTTCTCCGCTGGGAACAGCAGCTGATGTGTGGAGTTCACACTGGGAATTGTTACCTAAGAAATATCTTTCATATTTCCTTTTTTACCCCATTTATCGACCTTTCTTAGTTCTCCTTACTGCCATTCACGTCATTTCTTTCCATGATGGTACAATATCTCCTAGCTGACTTTTTTTCTGATAAAATCTACAGAGGGACTATAACGTTTTAAAACTGAATTCCAGCCAGCTAAATACACTGATGAAATGCATATTTGGAGGCTGTTTTACCATCTAAATGATTTGTATTTCTGTCCATTCAGTGCCGAGCAGGAGCAAACTGACAACTCATGGGGCCCCCGGGCAATAGGGAATCATGGGGCCCCTGTGTCCTTGCCCAAACTCAAAAAAGCCTATGAAAAAGGTACCAGGGGCATCTCATGGGGCCCTCTACTGACCCCGGGCCCTCGGGCAGTGCTTGAGTTTCCAAATGGTCAGTCCGCCCCTGGTCCCGAGATTTGTTACAGTTCTACCACACAGCAGAGTCCTAAGTGTTAAATTTCTTTTATTACAGGCGTACCCCCCCGGTTTACCAATTTAATGCGTTCTGCAAGACTTTTCATATTGTGAAAAATTTGTAAACCGAAATGCAGTTTCCCATAGGCATGCATTGAAAAACAATTAATCCGTTCCGGTGGTCAGAGAAAAAGTAAAAAAAAAGTCTTTTATCTTTTCAAAACTCTTTATAAAGTGCACTTTAAAGGCATAAATACTGTACAGGGACTTGATTAAAAATTAATTCATAAATGCATTGAAAACCAATTAATCCGTTTGTATTGCGAAAAATTTATAAATGCATTGAAAACCTATTAATCGGTTCCGGAGGTCAGAAAAAAGTAAAAAAAAGTCTTATCTGTTTAAAACTCTTTATAAAATGCACTTTAAAGGCATAAATACTGTACAGGGACTTGATTAAAAATTAATTCATAAATGCATTGAAAACCAATTAATCCGTTTGTATTGCGAAAATTTATAAATTTATAAATGCATTCAGAAAAAAAAAAGTCTATCTGTTTAAAACTTTTATAAAATCACTTTAAAGTAGTGCTGTACCATGGAGGTCATTCCGGAGAAAAAAAGTAAAAAAAAGTCTTATCTGTTTAAAACTCTTTATAAAGTGCACTTTAAAGGCATAAATACTGTACGGGGACATGATTTTAAAAAAAATCGTGAATGCATTCAATACCAATTAATTCGTTCGTATTGCGAAAAATTTGTAAATACATTGAAAACCAATTAATCCGTTTGTATTGCGAAAAATTTGTAAATACATTGAAAACCAATTTGCGAAAAATCCATTGTTAATCCGGAGGTCAGAAAAAAGTAAAAAAAAAAGTCTTTTATCTGTTCAAAACTCTTTATAAAGTGCACTTTAAAGGCATAAATACTGTACAGGGACATGATTTAAAAAAAAATTGTAAATGCATTGAAAACCAGTTAATCCATTGTGGAACAGAAAAAAGCCAAAAAAAGTTCTTCTGTTCAACACTCTTTATAAAGTGCATGATTTTGGCATTAACACTGTAGGGTCACATGATATAAGAAAAAAAAATTGCTCAAATGCATTGAAAATTAATCCGTTAAACAGAGCCAACTGCCCCCTTCTTTAGGCTCTCCAAACTATGGCCCCCATGCGATGAACTTTAATGCCTTTGACACACATGATATGATCAGGGGGGCATGATGAGGAATGTGATGTAGTTGGGGGTATTAAGTTCAGGACCCTGAATGCCAAGGGAAGCTCTGACGGAGACTCTGATGTAAGAACTTTAAGGAATGGGATCATGATATGATAGGGGGGCTCTGATGAGGACACATGATGTAAGGGGTACTTAGTTGGGGACCCTGATGTAAGGGAAGCTCTGACGGAGACTCTGATGTAAGAATGTCTCTTATGGGAACCTCTAATGGAAGGGGGGCTCTGCTGGGGACCCATGATGTAAGGGGGTCTCTGATGGGGACCCTGATGTAAGGAGGAGGCTCATGTAAAGGGTACTTTGATAAGGATACACCATATGGCTCTGAGGAAGAGGCAAGTCCTTGAAACGCGTTAGCCAGGTGGATCGCCATCTGTCTCATTCTGTGATATGATATCATGGACGGGAGGTTGCTTGTTTTTTAATTATGATGAGCTATTATGCATCTCTCTGTTTGTTAGTATAATACTTACCATTAATAAAAGACATATTTTAAGGATAATGCAATAGGCCAATGCACCCTGTGTTTTGTTTTAGGATTATAGTGTATCCAGACTTCCCCAATCTTAAGAGGGCAGCAGGCAATGCATGACCATTTAAGCCAAGATGAGAAGATAGACACCTGTTATCACCAGAGCCTAATTCCAAGTGCAGGAGATTGTCTATTTGTCATCAGTTTGAAATACTCTGATAGGGACCCTGATGTAAGAGGGGCTCTGATGGGGAACCTGAAGTAAGGGGGTCTATGATGGGGATCGTGATGTAAGGGGGGTTCTGTTGGGGACCTTGATGTAAGGGGGGGCTCTGAGGGGACTCTAAAGTAAGGGGTACTCTGATGGGGGATTCCGATGCAAGGGGACTCTGATGGGGACCGTGATGTAAGGGGGGCTCTGGTGGGGCATCCTGATGTAAGGGAGGACTCTGGTGGTGACCTTGATGTCAGGGGGGACTCTGATGGGGATGCTATCTAAGCATGCAATAGTGGGGATTTTTTTTGGCCCCCATACTGAAAAGGTTGGAGACCCCTAGCTTAGAACACTGTTCTTGAATGTTTGATGGACTCTAGAATGCTCCTGGGTGGACCTTAGTAGTCTACTACTGCTATTCTGCTGCTGACACAGGTAAAAGCAATGACAGATTATTCCCTTGCATAACTCTGCTATAGAGCCACTCCTGAGCATTCTATAGTACACCAAACACTGCAGGACAGATTTCTAAGTCTTGATAAAGGTGTTATAAAACCCCCGAAAAACGCTGGCTACTATTTTCTTTGTAATCAAAATAATTAAAACATTGGAATCTTGAGACATTGGTTTGACACCCTCATTGGTTTAAATATATTTGGATTTACCAGTCCTGGTTTTTCCAGGGACCCCCCCAGTTTGATGTGGAACTGCCTAACCCAAGTCAACCAGATATGAAGATTGACCCCTGTGACTGTCTGAAAATTTGTGTTCAGCAACTCACCCTTGCTGTTTTTCTGGACACAACATAGCCTTTTCTGGCGGACAGGAGACCTGATTTTTCTTTTATGTTGTTCAGTAACACTTACAGGTTTTGTCCCTCCCTCAGCCTGTGACTGGACAGTGAAAGGAGAAGCAGCACACTCTCTGTTACTCTGTTTTCTCTCCCTATCAGCATAGTCATTGTACTGCAACTCAACTGCCCCTCCCCCCTTCCCTTCTAAGGCCTCCTCCACACTGATGGTCCGATTGGGTCCGCCTGTCAGTTTTTCAGGCGGACCCGTTTGGACCATCCGTATACCTCTATTGACCGGCGAGTGTCCGCTGATACCCGCTGGCATCCGATCTGATCCTGTACACCAAAAACAGATGGATGGTGATCCATCCAGATCGGATCGGATGACAGTTGGAAACGGAAACATATCCATCTGACCTCCTCATAAGAAAAAGCTGTGGTTTTTGCATTTTTTTATGTCACACAGTTTGGGCAGCAGTTTTGCAAATGTAGGTTTTGGAAAAAAATACACGGTTTTTAAATTTATTGCAAAAAGGAAAATACATAACACATTCTTTTGTAAAATCTAAAAGATGATGTTACGCCGAGTAAATAGATAATATCATGTCATGCTTTAAAATTGCACACACCCGTGCAACGGCGACAAAGGATGCAAATGTTACTATTCATAAGCGACTCTTTAAAAGCCTTTACAGGTTACCACTTTAGATTTACAGGAGGTCTAGTGCTAGAATCACTGCCCATAATCTGACGTTTGCGGTGATACCTCACATGTGTGGGGACAATCACTGTTTGCGTGCATGCAAGCTCGACGCTTGTGTTCTCCTTTTCATGGGGGGATTGGACACTTTAATTTTTTTTTTTTTAATGTCTACACTGGCGCTTTAAATTTAAATCCTCTGTGACAGCAATAGACATGTGACAGGTATTTTTTATGGAGGGATCAGGGGTCTATAAAACCCCAAATCCCTCCTCTGCACTTGAAAGCATTCAAACCACCAAGATCGGTGTTTTCGAATGCATTTATTTTTTAAAAATGGAGCAGTGTATTTTCGAGTAAACCGGATGTGATGTCAGGTAATTGCTTCCAGTTTACTATAAAGGATGATCAAAGCTGATTCCGGCTTTGTTTGGCTGTCCCGGCTGGTTGTTTGGGACTTCCAGTGGGATAGGAGATCCTGAGAGAGCTGTGGAAGGCGGTGGGACAACCCCTCCCTGAGCTTGTACAAGCAATCAAGCGGCTAGTTAGATGTTCCAATTACTTGTACAAGAAAGCTGACCGCTGGCTCTAAAAAAGGTAGGCTGTAGTGTCCTTTGCTGGAAATCCCAAAATTCAGTTATTTGGTGGGGTACCCATATTTGAAGGTATGATGGTCAGTTGTCATTGGCCATATACAGTCATGGCCGAAATTGTTGGCACCCTTGTATATTTTTCTGAAAATCAAGTATTTCACAACAAAAAAGGTATTGCATTAACACATGTTTTGCTATACACATGTTTATTCCCTTTGTATGTATTGGAACAAATATAAAACAGAGGCAGAAAAGCAAATATGACATAATGTCACACAAAACCCCAAAAATGGGCTGGACAAAAGTATTGGCACCCTTAACTTAATATTTGGTTGCACACCCTTTGGAAAACATAACTGAAATCAGTCGCTTCCTATAACCATCAATAAGCTTCTGACACCTCTCACCCGGAATTTTGGACCACTCTTCCTTTGCAAAACAGCTCCAGGTCTCTCTTATTGGAAGGACACCTTTTCCCAACAGCAATTTTAAGATCTCTCCACAGGTGTTCAATGGGATTTAGATCTGGGCTCATTGCTGGCCACTTCAGAAACTCTCCAGCGCTTCTTTGCCATCCATTTCTGAGTGCTTTTTGACGTATGTTTGGGGTCATTGTCCTGCTGGAAGACCCAGGATCTTGGACGCAAAACCCAGCTTTCTGACACTGGGCCCTACAGTTGCGACCCAAAATCCTTTGGTAATCCTCAGATTTCATGATGCCTTGCACACAGTCAAGGCACCCAGTGCCAGAGGCAGCAAAACAACCCCAAAAACATCATTGAACCTCCACCATATTTTTACCGTAGGTACTGTGTTTTGTTCTTTGTAGGCCTCATTCCGTTTTCGGTAAACAGTAGAATGATGTGCTTTACCGAAAAGCTCTATCTTGGTCTCATCTGTCCACAAGACGTTTTCCCAGAAGGCTTTTGCTTACTCAAGTACATTTTGGCAAAACTGTAGTCTTGCTTTTTTATGTCTCTGTGTCAGCAGTGGGGTCCTCCTGGGTCTCCTGCCATAGCGTTTCATTTCATTTAAATGTCGACGGATAGTTCGCGCTGACACTGATGCTCCCTGAGCCTGCAGGACAGCTTGAATGTCTTTGGAACATGTTTGGGGCTGCTTATCCACCATCCGGACTATTCTGCGTTGCAATCTTTCAATTTTCCTCATCCGTCCACGACCAGGGAGATTAGCTACAGTGCCATGGGTTGCAAACTTCTTGATAATGTTGCGCACTGTGGACAAAGGCAAAATCTAGTTCTTGGAGATGGACTTGTAACCTTGAGATTGTTGATATTTTGCCCACAATTTTGGTTCTCAGGTCCTCAGACAGTTCTCGTCTCCTTTTCTGTTGTCCATGCTTAGTGTGGCACAGACAGACACACAATGCAAAGGTTAAGTGAACGTCTCTCCTTTTTATCTGCTTTCAGGTGTGATTTCTATATTGCCCACACCTGTTACTTGCCCCAGGTGAGTTTACAGGAGCATCACATGCTTGTAACATTTTATTTATCCGCAGTTGTGAAAGGGTGCCAATACTTTTGTCCAGCCCATTTTTTGGAGGTTTGTGTGACATTATGTCGAATTTGCTTTCTTTCCTCCCTTTTTTTGTTTTGTCCCAATAACACAAAGGAATAAACATGTGTATAGCAAAACATGTGTTAATGCAATACGTTTCGTGAGAAATACATGATTTCCTGGAGAAATATCAAGGGTGCCAACAATTTCGGCCATGACTGTAGTGTATATGAAGGCTCTGAGTCTTCTTAGTTGCCTCACTGATCCTCTTATCTCATTGCAAGTCTACAAAACTGTGCAATTATGCAAAACAGACTAGTGACTACAGTGTTGTCGGGTGTCAGCTTCCAATAGGGCTTAGTCAGTAAAATGACTGTCAACAAAGTTGAGGAGCCAAACACCGGCTATCAACTCAATCATCATGTATGAGAAATCAACTTCATTGTGTCTCCTCCCAAGCAATGCCCTACTGATGAGTTTCACCCTCCATTGGGCTTAGTCCATTGAGAGCATTTGGGTTGATAGCCAGTATGCAGCTCCTCACCTCTTTCAACAGTATTCTACAGTGCCCCCCAGTCCATTCAGTGCACTCCATCCTACCACAGTGCCCCTGGAAAGCCCCCAGCCTCCTGGAAAGACCCACAGCTCCCTCCAGAGATTCCATCCCCCCACAGTTTCCCCCAGCTGCTTCCAGATTCCCCTACAGAGTCACTAAGCCTGCTGGAGAGTCTCCAAACCCCGTTTAGAACTTCCATACCCCAACAGTGATACCCAGAGCCATCCAGACCCTTCCAGCTTTCAAATAAATATTCTGTATAACCATACTTTTATAGTGTTAGTAGAAACTTTTTTTTTTATTGCTGGCTCATGGGAGGTTTTGGAAACATTTACCAGCTCTGGTCTCCAAAAGGTTGAAAACCACTTCTCTAAACAGTATGAGATATTTAGGCAGTCCTGTAGCAGTAGTAAAGTACAACAGGACAATGCACACTGAAAGTACCATGAGCAGGTTGGAGGTGGTGCAGTGGCATAGGAACCTGCAGGACAGTAGGTAGGTAGTAGGTAGCAGGGGCGGACTGACAATTCATGGGGCTCCCAGGCAATAGGGGATCATGGGGCCCCTCTGTCCTTGCCCAAACTCAAAAAAGCCTACGAAAAAGGTACCAGGGCATCTCATGGGGCCCCCTACTGACCCCGGGCCCTCGGGCAGTGCCCGAGTTTCCAAATGGTCAGTCCGCCCCTGGTAGGTAGTATAGTGATGTCACCTTCTGGCTATACAGTGTGGCAGGTATCCTGGAGTCAGGAGTGACTGAATGAAATGGTCTTCCTATATATTGGCAGATAGTTTACATCAGGGGTGGACTGACCATTCAGAAACTCGAGCACTGCCGAGGGCCCGGGGTCAGTAGGGGGCCCCATGAGATGCCCCTGGTACCTTTTTCATAGGCTTTTTTGAGTTTGGGCAAGGACACAGGGGCCCGATGATCCCCTATTTGCCCGGGGGCCCCATGAGTTGTCAGTCCGCCCCTGGTTTACATAGCTGTTTGGCTGGAGTCCTGATTTAATATATGCAGTTACGCTGCTCATGACAAATTCATTTAAGCTGATTGTAAAAGTGGTAAAGCCACTTCCTCCTCTCTTTAATTAAGAGCCTCAAAACACCACAGATCATTGTCACAGTGAAATATCTGGTTACAGTAATAATTGGGCATAAATAAGGTGCATTTTTGATTTAGATTGTATTTTTTGGCCAATCTCACAGGCTTATCAAAATGCCTGACATTCCAAAATCCTTTTTTTTTTTCAATTACAGAATGATCTAATGGAGGCAGAAAAACGGAATTCTGGTATAATAAAGAGACTCCACTTAATTGCTTTAGAAAACTAGGGCAGATTAATCATAGGGGACAAGGTGTCTGAGAATGGGCATAGCAGCGCCATCTGTTGGCTGTGCCAGACGGCACGCTATCACATGCAAAGTGATGGAGGTTACTGTAATTAACCCATGATAATGCTGACTTGGGAAATTTCCAGCCACGCTTAAGGAATTTCAGGGAAAATGAAAATCACATAAGATGACTTAATGTCTATTTGGTATTTCTGCATTTTTAAAACGTGAGCTCCAGATGTCCCTTTAAAGCAAAAAAATATATAATTAAAGATCCCAGCTAAAGAATGTTCCACGTACTTCTCCCTAGGGAATCACTTTTTTGAAGTGATACATCCTCTAGGAGAATCTTCAGCATCCGACACAACTAGGAGTATCAGATACCTCCGACCCTGCTGTATGCTGTGGTTCTCCCCACTGGCCCCTCAATTGCTACAGAACGCAGTAATAACACTTGGCCAGTGGAAGGAACCATGGCACAGTAGGGGGCAGTCAACTGGCAGTTTGAGCTTTTTTTTCTAACTTACCTGGAGTTGCAAAATTTTACAACTGAAATAAATTTTGATTCGTAGTTGAAAGAAACTTGGCACTGATTTTTTTTTTTTTTTTACATTAAGCTTTGTGTATATAAGACACATTGAAAAGCCATTGATGGGTATGTTTAGGGATTACTCTTCTGCATCCCACACCAGCAGTGTTATTCTGAAAAACTTAGTCGAGTAGGCTGAGGAACAGAATTTGTACGCAAATATTTATGATAGCTATATTTTCAGTGAAAAATGTCTTTTTTTTTTTTTTTTTAGAAAACACAAACACAATTTTATTTTAAAAAATGATTAGATATAAAAGATGGGATTGCATCAAGTTAAGAAGTACTAAATATATCTAGGCTCAAACTCTCGTGCGCTTGCTAAATGGTGATAAACTACAATACTCAAAATTGAAAGTAAGTGGCGTATTAGAAAATTTTACAACCCATTACTTTAGAGTTAAACCTTAATGATAGCCCTAAAATATATCTGGCATGCTAGAGAATACCTAATATGTGTCTTGCAATCGGTATTTATGTATGTACTGTCATCCTAACTGCATGTGGGGGGGGGGGGGGGGGGGACAATTTTATGGTATATATATATATATATATATATATATATATATTTCATATTATTCATTAATATAGAATAATTTTGATTAATTTTCATTTTTTTTTTAAATTCCTTTTGTTCCTATCACAAGAGCGCTGACAAGCCCCCTATGTAAAAGTGACAGGTACATTCCATAGGATGCATCAGAGTTCTAGTAGGCCCCAATGCCTCCTCCTGTAAACAGGGGCGGACTGACAACTCATGGGGCCCCCGGGCAATAGGGGATCATGAGGCCCCTGTGTCCTTGCCCAAACTCAAAAAAGCCTATGAAAAAGGTACCAGGGGCATCTCATGGGGCCCCCTACTAACCCCGGGCCCTCGGGCAGTGCCCGAGTTTCCAAATTGTCAGTCCGCCCCTGCCTGTAAACTACGAACAGGGGCAGCACAGTGGCTTAGTGGTTAGTTGTTCATAGGAGGTTTCACAGTTCTAGTGGACCTCTGATGCATCCTGCTATAAGCCATGAACCATGGCATCATGGTGGCTTAGTGGTTAGCTCTTCATAGAAGACATTACAGTTCTAGTAGACCCCATGATGTCTCCTAATATAAGCCATAAACCATGGCAGCACAGTGGCCCAGTGGTTAGCTCTTCATAGAACGCATTACAGTTATAGTAGACCCCATGATGCCTCCTCCTGTTAGCCATGAACCATGGCAACAAAGTGGTTTAGTGGTTAGCTCTTCATAGAAGGCATTGCAGTTTTAGTAGACCCCTGATGGCTCCACCTGTGAGCCATGAACCATGACAGCACAATGGCTCAGTGATTAGCTCTTCATAGAAGACATCACAGTTCTAGTAGACCCCATGATGCCTCCCCCTGTTAGCCTAGAACCATGGCAGCATAACGGCTTAGTGCTTAGCTTTTCATAGAAGGCATTGCAGTTTTATTAGACCCCTGATGGCTCCTCCTGTGAGCCATGAAACATGGCAGCACAGTGGATTAGTGGTTAGCTCTCTATAAATGGCATTAGAGTTCTAGTAGATCCCATGATGCCTCCTCTTATAAGCCATGAACCATGGCTGCACAGTGGCTCAGTGGTTAGCTCTTCATAGAAGGCATCGCAGTTCCAGTAGACCCCTGATGTTTCCTTCTGTGAGCCATGAACCATGGCAGCACAGTGGCTTAGTGGTTAGCTCTTTATAGATGGCATCAGAGTTCTGGTAGACCCCTGGTGCCTTCTCCCGTGAGTTATGAACCATGGCAGCACAGTGGCTTAGTGGTAAGCTCTTCTGCCTTGCAGAAATTAGGTTCCTGGTTTGAGTTTAGGCCAGAAGGCTCACTTGTTTTCATGCTCTCTCTGTGCTGCTTTCAGCCATAGTTACATAGTTAGTCTGGCTGAAAAAAGACAAAAGTCCATTCAGTTCAACTATAGAAAAAAAAAAGTTATAATCCTACACCCACAGTTGATCCAGAGTAAGGCAAAAAAAAACCCAGCAATGCACGATCCAATTTGGTCCTGCTGAGGAAAAAAGTCCTTCATGATCCCAGGAGAGGCAATCAGATATTCCCTGGATCAACTTTACCTCTAAATGATAGTATCCAGTTATATTCTGTGTATCTAAGAAAGAATCCAGGACTTTTTTAAAACAATCCACTGAGCTGGCCAGAACCAACTCTTGAGGGAGTCTATTCCACATTTTCACAGCTCTCACTGTGAAGAAACCTTTCCGTGTTTGGAGATTAAATTTCTTTTCCTCCAGAAGTAAAGAGTGCCCCCTTGTCCTCTGTGATGACCTCAGGGTGAATAACTACACCGAGTTCACTATATGAACCACTGATGTATTTATACATGGAGATCATATCCCCCCTTATGTATTATACATGGAGATCATATCCCCCCTTATGTATTATACATGGAGATCATATCCCCCTTATGTATTATGCATGGTGATCATATCCCCCCTTATGTATTATACATGGTGATCATATCCCCCCTTATGTATTATACATGGAGATCATATCCCCCCTTATGTATTATACATGGTGATCATATCCCCCCTTATGTATTATACATGGTGATCATATCCCCCTTATGTATTATATATGGTGATCATATCCCCCCTTATGTATTATACATGGTGATCATATCCCCCTTATATTATATATGGTGATCATATCCCCCCTTATGTATTATACATGGTGATCATATCCCCCCTTATGTATTATACATGGAGATCATATCCCCCCTTATGTATTATACATGGAGATCATATCCCCCTTATGTATTATACATGGTGATCATATCCCCCTTATGTATTATATATGGAGATCATATCCCCCCTTATGTATTATACATGGAGATCATATCCCCCCTTATGTATTATACATGGAGATCATATCCCCCCTCAATCTCCTCTTCTCAGTAGAGAATAAATTCAGTTCCTCTAATCCTTCCTTATAGTTGATCTCCTCCATGCCTTGTATCAGTTTAGTTGCCCTTCTCTGTACTTTCTCCAGTTCCCCAATGTTCTTTTTGTGAATTGGTGCCCAAAACTGAACTGCATATTCCAGATGAGGTCTTACTAATGATTTGTACCGGGGGAAATGATATCTCTCTCTCTGGAGTCTATACATCTTTTAATACAAGAGAGGTATGATATTCCGCCCACAGTGCCCAAGATGGCTGTACCAACAGCAAATAAAAAGCATTATGATTCCCCAGAGAGAAAAGTGTAAATATGAATGAAAAGTGCACAATCTGGTGCTCTCAGGATTGACAGCTCTGAACCCAGAGCCAAGTACCTACCAGGTTCATTCAACCTAGAGGAGATTGGTAAACAGGAATTCTTCAATCTTTTCACACTCTCCATACTGAATTTTTTCTGCAGTGGTTGGGATCCCTGTGAGGCCAGAAGGCTGAGATCTCTAAACCAAGTTCCTTGGTTTGCACCCATTATGAGGGCTTTCTACCATCCCTGCTGGATTTTATTTATTGTATATTATGGAACACTCAAGGGTGGGTATGAGCATCCATAACCCCCAGATTGACAGAACCAGAGTTGTGAATTAGAG